AAAAAATTCTACGTCAATTAGCCATTTTTGGTATTCGCAAACCCTACTGTGCTTCCATTCGGAATCACTGATCTACACCATGACATTTCAGTGGGCAGTAATATCCTTCGGATTGGATATGATGCTCCCAAAGAAATTGATCGTGAAGGCCTTGCCTCTAAATTTGATTTTTGTTGCACAGTTGATTGCCGATAAAAAAGTAAAGTAAAAATAGAAGGCTGGGCCGGAGTGCCCACTATTTATTCTTTGTTGCTCCCTTGTGAAATCTGGACTAGATTCTTATGGAAATTTTCCACAAGGGTGGAGTTGGTTAGAAAATCATTCTCTTAGTCAGATTACCCGCACACAAAGTTGTCATTATGGTACGACATTTTCGATAAAATTTGCTTTTTGCAGGTGTGTTGATTTGTCCGTCCCATGTTTCCGTTTCCTAGACGTCTACAACGGGATCTTCCTTGGCGGTAGACCAGCACTTTCCGGAAAAATAGAGCAAGGATTCACTGGTAAGTTCAATAAAAGACGCATCTATAAGCTTTATCTCTACTGCTCATAAATGAATGACCGGCTCAGGTTGCATCGCCAATTTGACGTTGAATGATGAACTAATCGAATTTTCGTCGTTGGCTGAAATGGACGTCCGTGGAATGGTGAACGAGGGATGTGCTCCTCGGAAGGACTTCTGTGCCAAAGGCGTTTGCTCCACAAGTGCGAAATGCGCTAACCGATGGAATGGCGCCAATTGTCGCTGTCCACATTCTGCACATCACAATGGATCCTGCCATGCTGGTGAGTGAACAGTTTTTCCCTAGTCGAAGTGAGCTTTTCCGTCCGTCGTTCTTGAGAAGTAATGAGCTCCACTGAAGTGAGCGATAGTGATAATCCTACTTTCTACCTTGCACACCCATGAATTGTTCGTGGAAATGGGAAAGTGGGCGACAGCCAATCTCCCTTATCCTGCGCCACGCACTCAAACCTCACTTGGAATTAGATAATCAATTAAATATGCATATGACATTCACAGTCAATGGCCGGGAGGGTTGATACTCTATCCAGTATGCTTTTATTCTTATAATAACGTTGCTGGTAATAATCCCCATGGAGTAGTGGAAGTCTTTTTCGGCTGCTCTCCGGGGCTATGCTCTCTTTTACACCCTGGATGCTCTTCTTCTACGCATCACAGTCTAAGTCTGTACATGTCATTTTATAGGTCCGTGATTACAGAAAGTGACATAATAATGGCTCATTGATACTATTTCT